TGTGTGTGTGTGTGTGACCAGCTCCGCCCACCAGGGTGCAGGGCTGGCTGGCATGTGGTGCTGGGGGATTGAACCACCGTCCCTGTGCTTTGCTAAGCTTGTTCTAAGTAGGTGCTTTAGACCACTGAGCCATCTCACCAGCTCCTACGATGAATATTTAAATAAATAATTTTGTTACAGTTACAGATAAATTGCATTAATCCTCCTTAAAATATTCCTTTCACATTGAACACACTTATCCCAGCATTCTTGCCCCTTTCTGAAGCAGTAAGTGTCTTTATTTGTGCTTTTGTGGCTCCCTTGATGTCCTCACTCACTTAAAACATTTACCTTTCCAGTCATTAGGGCACTGGAGAAGAGCCAGAAGTTACCTGGTGCCAGAGCCTTTATAGAGTAGATGAGCACACACAGTAATGGTTTTATGAGCCTGACTTTCTTTTGAGTGACACTCAGCAGTGTTGCCTTTTGTTTATACTTTGTAAAGACATGAAAGAGGGCTTTTTGAGCTGCTTCAGAAAGTCATAAGAACAATGTGATAAGAATGTTTGAATTAAAGGTGAATATTTTGAAAGGAATTAATGTCAATTTAAAAAAAAATTATTTATTTATTTTGTATGCGTGTGTGTGTGTGTGTGTGTGTGTGTAGCCAGCTCATCCCACCAAGGGGCAGGGCTGGCTGGCATGTGGTGCTGGGGGATTGAACTGCGGTCCCTGTGCTTAGCTTAGCTTAGCTTGTTCTAAGTAGGTGCTCTAAACCACTGAGCCATTTCACCAGCCCCAATGTCAATTTTTAAAACTAATTTTATGTATGTATGTATGTATGTATTTAGTGCAGGGTCTTGCAGGGTCTGCAGAGTCTCACTACACAGATCAGGCTTGTAGTAATTCTCCTGTTTTCAGTTTTCCAAGTGCTGGGATTACAGGTGTGCGCTACCACACCCAGTCTCAATCACCATCTCAGCTTGTTCTGGGGGCAGGTTAGGCATGGCAGGCCTGGGATTAAACCTCCGACCCCTGCTTCTGTCTAAGTAGACGCTTTAATCTACTGAGCTATCTGGCTGGGCTTTTTTTTACTGTAATTTTAAAAATTTGAGTGCACATATTTTTTGAACAGCTTTGTATATTGAGACCAGGCAATATCTTATTTAAAAAGATACTAACTTTTCTTGGGGAATTCGTTTCTTAACTTGACTTTCAGTGACATGTGAATTTGTTTCAATATATTGGCTTACCTATGAAATAAAGACAGATTTGAAATAGTTGCTTTGAAATAGTTAATAATCTGCTAATCTTTAGTTATAGAGATTACTTAGTTTACTTTACTATAATCAGTTTTTCTATAGGGACTTTGCGTGGATTCTTTCAACTAGAATCAACTCCCAGATGAATTTATTTTTTCATTAGTTCCTTTTTTACTCTAGTTTCAGGATTTCTTTTATTTATTTCTTTTATTTTTTTGGTGGAACCAGGGATTGAAATTAGGCCCTTGTGCTTGCCAGGCAAGCATTTATTCTACTAAGCCATATCCCCAACCCCTAGGATTTCTTTTAAAAAGGAATATAATGTATCTAAAATGTGTACCATTGATCACAGGGGAAGGACTGGGAAAAACTTATCCCAAGTTTGTCAATTAGATTGACTAATAGATGTTTGTGTGCCTTTTTTTTTTTGTTGAAAATATTTCCTTATTTAAAATATTCAGAATTTTTTGGGAAACATTAAACAAAATTTTTTTTTAAAAAATAAACCTTTTTATGCTTACATTTAAACTCTTAGCTGGGGGCCGGGGAGATGGCTCAGTGGAATAAGCGCTTCCCTAGCAGGCGCAAGGGTCTGAGTTCAATCCCCGGTTCCGCCAAAAACCCCCAAAACTCTTAGCTAATGTTATAAACTGGACTCTAAGCAATTTGTATAGACTTTTTTTTTTTTTTTTTTTTTTTTTTGGTGGAACTGGAGATTGAACTCAGGCCCTTGTAGTTGCCAGGCAAGCACTTATTCCACTGAGCCATCCTCCAGCTCCTTTGGACTCTAAGCAATTTAAACTGACAAATTAAGTTATAAGACAGCATATAAAATTTTAATATAGAAGCTGACAAGATAGCTCAGCAGACTAAAGTGCCTGCTTAGGCAGCCTTAGGCAAGAGCAGGGACTGGGGTTTGACCTCACATGTGGCACCAACCCTGCCCTTGGGACTGGCTGAGTCCGCCAGAGTCCAGGCATGGTGGTGCGAGCCAGTAATCCCAGCGCTGGGGAGGCTGAAAGCAAGAGGATCACCATGAGTCTGAGCTGTGTAGTAAGACTGTGCAACAGGGGCCGGGGAGATGGCTCAGTGGAATAAGTGCTTCCCTGGCAAGCACAAGGGCCTGAGTTTAATCCCCGGTTCTGCCAAAGATAAAAAAATAAAGACTCCTTAAAAAAAATCTTTAAAAAAAAAAAGACTGTGCAGTAACCAAATACATTAAAAAAATAAAAAGAACAAATGTACAGTATAATTTTTTAAAATTATTGAATTGTTTTGATGACAGATTGAAATTTTAAAGGAAAATATGGCCTCCGAAGTGATTTATTAAATTTAACCCAAAACTTTTTGTTTTTCAGGTGTTCATTGTACCCATGGTTTCAATCGCACAGGCTTCCTCATATGTGCCTTTCTGGTGGAGAAAATGGATTGGAGGTATTTGTATCTTGTTATAATGGCAGAAGTTGTACTTAATAGTTGATTATTGTTTATTGTTATTTTAGTTGTAGCATTTTATATTACCAAGTTTCAAAACAATTTTTTGTTACCATGTTTGTGATGCATAATAATTACATTCATTTCATTTAGGGGAATTGTTAACACATGCATAGGTTGATCATTTTTATTCCTACTTTCCCCTACCCTCCCTATAGTGCCAAGTCTTTTGAGATTATAGCATAATTAAAATGGTTTTCAGTTGGGATACGATTAGTTTCTAGGATACTGTTATGTGGTTGTTTTAGAATCAGTAGCAGTTTAGTTGAGTGCTTATAAACTCCATAAACTGTAAATATTTATATATATAAAATTTATCCCAATTTTATCCATGTATATACACACATGTATATGTGTATACACACACACACACACACACACACACACACACACACAGCATTATCAGAAACAATATTTTCAATATTTTGTGCTAGTGTTCAGCTTTGGAAATTAATTTTTTTTTTCTTTTTCCTTTTAACTGGTGTCTTTCTTATTTATTCATTTATTTATTTATTGAGACAGAGTCTCACCGTGTAGTCCAGGTTGGCCATAAGCTCACTAGCCCAGGCTTTCCTTGAACTTTCTCCTGCTTCAGCTTCCTAAGTCCTGGGATCACAAGTGTGCTTGCCATGCCCTGCTTAATGAGTGTCTTTTCTATTGCATAGTAGGAACAGTTTAGAATGTTGTAAAAAAGAAAGTATTTTAGGGACAAGTTACTCCCTTTAAGCCAATCATCATGTTTTTATTGAACACTTGTTATTTGTGAAATGTTTTTAGATCCTGAGAGATTACAACCTTAGTTATCTAAGGTTCCTAGGAGAATTCCTAAGAGAATGGGATATCACTAGCTGAATTTTCTCGTTGACTGATCGAGGTTTGTTGTTTATGTTCCAAAGCCTTGCACACAGTAGTTCTTTTCTGAATATAATCAGCCAAAGTACACATCTGCTTTTACCCTTTGTATTTTACACACCCTCAGTGGTTCTCTGCTGAATAAGCTTCCTAGCTCTAGTGACTCAGATGTTCTGCACAATATTCCCAGGCTCCAGTGCAGACTCAGCCTGTGCTTGTTTCGTCATGATCTGTATAGTTAGTGCCTGGGCCTCTAGACATTTATGAAAAGTCAACATGCTTTTAATCTTGCTCACATTGCTATTCAAATTTCTTTGAATGCTCTTTTTTTTTTTTTCCCCTGAGTCAGACTGTAAGCTTCAGGACTTTAAATTCTTCTTCAGTGATCCTACCCGGATCCCTGATGTGCACTCAATGTAGTACACTTTCAGAGTCGAGGAATTATACTATTAGTGTATCTTAAAACTGCTTCAGAATGAATTTGTCCCTTACCAATTGATTGCCTTTAGGGTGAAGACTGTGGCTCTCTATTTTTACAGACATGTATTATACGTTATATGATGATTTGAATATAAGTGAGTTTTGATAACTATGTATAATGGAGAATAGTGAGGAAATTGCATGGTGTTTTTTTCCATAGTATTGAAGCAGCAGTTGCTACTTTTGCCCAAGCCAGACCACCAGGAATCTATAAGGGTGATTATTTGAAGGAACTTTTTCGTCGTTATGGTGATATAGAGGAAGCACCACCACCACCTGTATTACCAGATTGGTGTTTTGAGGATGATGAAGATGAGGATGAGGATGAGGATGTAAAAAAGGAATCAGAGCCTGGGTCAAGTGCTTCCTTTGGCAAAAGGAGAAAAGAACGGTTAAAACTGGTAATGTTTGAAAATATTGTAATATTCTTTATCTTCTATCCATAAGCTTATTGGAATGTAGAAAAATGGGATGCTGGCCAATGTTCCTTAATTAGATTTGTGAGGTTATTTTTGAAAACCTGTAGTCTGTCTTTTCCAAGTGAAAAATTGAAGTTACTCAAGTCATCCTAGTTATGTTTCATTAGGTAAACCCTGTCTTTTTGAGACAGGGTTTCTCTATGTAGTCCATGGCTGACTTGCACCCAGACTGGCTCAAACTCATGATCTTCTTGTCCCAGCCTACTGAGTGCTAGCATTATGGGTGTGTGCTGCCACACCCAGCTAAGAACTCTCTTGCGTGCATGCAGTTCAGGCTGGCCTTGTGCTCACTGTGTAGCCCAGGCTGGTCTTGAACTCGCAACAATCCTGCTGCCTCAGCCTCCCGAGTGCTGGAGTTACAGGTGTGCACCATAATGTCTGGCCCAAGAATTCTCAGATATTGAATTAAGAATTTATCATTTCTTTACAAAGTATTGTGAGATTCCAAATATCTAGTGAGAATTTTGCTAATAGTTTACAAAATCGTCACACAATTAAAGGGATTTTATGTATGAATATTGCCTTCCTTTCTTTTTTTTCTTTTTTCTTTTTGGTGGAACCGGGGATTGAATTCAGGCCCTTGTGCTTGCCAGTGAAGCGCTTATTCTACTGAGCCATCTCCCTGGCCCTGCCCTCCTTTCCATGGGTGGTATTTTCATGCTTTCTGTAAAGTTGAACTTAAGTTTCTTACTTCCTTTCTAGCTAATCTTGGAAATCTTCTAGAAATAAGAGACTAAAAATAGTAGGAGTCATTCCACTACATGGAAAGAGAGAGAGAGAGAGAGAGAGAGAGAGAGAGAGAGAGAGAGAGAGAGAGGAAGAGTACTGGTTGTATTTGTATATATGTTATGGTAGGACAAAGTGAAAATTGAGGGCAAATGTAGAGAAAATTGTTTATGAACTCAAGGCGTATACTATATTAAGGTTAGGAGTGAATACTCAAGGTATTTGTTGGTAGGCATCGGTTCACAGGCAAGAGTGAAAATGCCTGGCCTGCTTTGTATAAATCGATTAACAATTATTTTAAAGTTCCTTTTTTGAAAAACATTTTTAAAAAATTGTGTTTATACATTTCAAACTTCAAGATCACAAGGCTACTGGAAAGTGTTGATTGCTTTGAAATATAGAAATAATTTCAAAAGTTACTCTTTGAGTTCAACTTACTACTATTTTCTGGATATGGATATTGAAAATACTAAATCACAGCTAGAAAAGTAATCACATTCTAAGGAAAGTTGAATAAATAATTTAGCTTAAAATATGTTATTACCCTATATGATACAATTTTTTGGGAATTGATTTTTAATTTTTTTAAAAAAATCATTCATTTGTTCACTCATTCATTTGGTACAGGGTCTTGTTACATAGCTTGGACTCATAGTGATCTTCCTGTCTCAGCCTCTCCAGGCTGGGATTATAGGTGTGTGCCACCACGCCTGGTTTCAGTGCACACCCAGTGTTCTAGGGCTGGCACAGCATGTGGTACTGGGGATTGAGCTCAGGTTCTTGAGTTTGCCAGGCAGGTCCTTAGACCTCCAAGCTGCCATTCCAGCCAGGAATTCAGTGTTTATGAGGTATGGTCTCACTGTGTAGCCCAAGCAGACCTTGAATTTGCCAAGGGTACTTTAGCCTCTGGAATGCTGGGATTACAGGTGTGAACCAGCATACTGGGCTTGAAGTATGTTTTTAGAAAACAGCATTAATCACAATCATATGGCTTGTACTTTTTGAATTATGTAGTATTTGTTTCTATAGAAATGTTTAAAGCAAAGAGTTACTAATTTACAAAATAGGATAAATTTAAATACTTTTTTTCCCTTGTGAGTGGAAAGGCCTTAAAATGACATTTTGTGTTGTTAAATATCATTGAATTCCTGTAGTTGCAAATGAGCTCCAGTAGAATTGAGAGAAAGATAGCCAATATCTCATTCATTCATTCATTCATTCATTCCAGGGATTGAACTCAGGATCTTGCGCTTGTCAGGCATACCACTGAGCTATCTGCCTAGCCCAAATATGACATCTAAAATAAAATCCTAAGTCTGGTTTCTCCTGTTTTGTCAGTTGCTATTTTAAAATTTTTCACTGTGATTGTGGTTTCACCAGTTTTTATTTGTGGTTTTGTTAGGTTTTGCTTTTTGTATTTTGAATTGGTATTACTTGGTCCATACAAATATATCTATATATCTCTATGTATCTGATTCATATACAAGTGTATATGTATCACTGTGCTGTGCGTGATTCACTCCTCCTGACTCAGTTTCAAAGAGTGCTGCCATTGTGGACGTGTTCTTTCTTGGCATCCCCCCATATATTTATACATGATTATTTTAGTTTTATCGTTTTTTACTATTGTTAAATGATTGTTCCTAGTACTACCATAGTTGTGGAAACTTTCTTTTGTATTGTGTTTGCATGAAATGTTTCCTGTCCTTTCAACCTTTTTTTTTTTTGGCGGAACTGGGGATTGAACTCAGGCCCTTGCGCTTGCCAGGGAAGCGCTTATTCCACTGAGCCATCTCCCTGGCCCCAGTCCTTTCAACCTTTAAAGTTTTAAGGAATTTTTTTTTTTTTTTTTTTTTTTTTGTGTGTGTGTGTGTGTGTTTTGCTCCTTGAATGCCTTCAGGGCACTTTTGCATGGCTGGAGTGTTGTGGGGATCGAACTACAGCAAACTGAGGCTGCCAGCATTGTGGAAGCAGCCACTTAAAGAACTGAGCTAGGGCTGGGCCCCCCAACCTTTAACGTTTTAAAAGATACATGTCTTGTGTAATGTTGCTGGGTTCTATTCAATCAGCAGCTTTTGTATTGTTAACGTGGTCCATACACTTTATATTTACTTGAACTCATAGAGATCCTCCTGTCTCAGCCTCCCCAACAATAGGATTACAGGTGTGTGTCACCATGCCTGATTTTGGTGGCTTCTACAGTGTACCTGGGGTTTTGGGGCCAGTGTGTGGCATGCGGTACTGGGGATCAAACCTGGGTCTTTGTGCTTCCAGGCAGATGCTTAGATTGCTGAACTATCTCCCCAGCCCTATTCTTATTTTAAGAGTGAGTCAGTCTTTCTCTCTCTCTCTCTCTCTCTCTCTCGCTCTCGCTCTCGCTCTCGCTCTGTGTGTCTGTCTCTCTCTCTTTCTGTGTGTGCCTTACCTAATATTTTTGTAATAGTGCCTCTGGAGGAATGTTACTTCCCTGGAATTTTCTTTCCTTTGAGTTCTTGGCTTTTCAAGTCCTAATTACTTTTCTAATTTTTTGGTATCCGAAGCAGGTGCTTTCTTTATTCTGCATTTTTGTCTAGCTTTTTCATGTGGTATAAAATTAGTCTAAATAAGCTAGCTTGCCATTGACAAAAGCTAAAATCTTTCTTCCATTTTGGGGAAAGCAGTTAGGGTTGTTTTCTTTTTCTTTTTAATATATTTGGTTGTTTTAGGGTCTCACTATGCAGCTCGGACTTGTAGTGATCCTCCTGCTTTCAGCCTCCCCAGTGCTGAAATTACAGGTGTGCGCTACTACGCTGGGACTCTGGCTGACTCAGCCTGCCCTGGGGGCGGGGCTGGTGCAGCATGTGGTGCCAGGGATCCAGCTGAGGTCTCTGTGCTTGCCTAAGCAGGTGCTTAGTTTGCTGAGCTATCTCGCTGGCCCCCTAGGGTTGTTCTGTGACAGTGAAGAGATGACAAAGTTTGAGAATAGTGTATTTGTGTTTGTACTTTTTTTTTTTTTTTTTAAATTTAGGGCAGGATGTACAGCGTCTCACTGTGCAGATCAGATTTGTAGTGATCCTCCTGTTTACAGCCTCCCAAGTGCTGTGATTACAGGTGTGCGCCACCACGCCCAGTCTTAATTGCCCAGTCTCAATTGGCGGCTCAGTGCGCCCTGCGGGTGAGGGGGTCGGTATGGCAGGCCAGGGCATTGAACTCCTAGCACCTGTGAATGTGTTTATACTTCTAAAGGCAGTTAAAAAAGAAAAAAAATTCTAAAGCCTTTATGTAGCATTTTGATAGATTTCCCACTCACTTTTAAATCATAATTAGTAAATACTAGAGTTACTGAATCTTTTTTACTTACCGAAGTAGTATAATTATATTAAATGAAGTATGAAAAGTATGTATTTATTTAATATAAAATATATACAAATGATATAAAAGTAAGTTTTCTTTGAAAATAAAGGAACATTTTGAATATATAAAATTAAAATGAAGACCCATCTTTACTCCCATTCCAGTTGCTCATTGCTTTTTGGTCATCTGTCCATCCTAGTTTTTCCATTCATTTATTCAGTTTTGAACCTAGTTCTAATCCAGCATAAATGTATTTTTCTATAGCTTCATTTTCTGATTTTTTTTCAGTCAAGAGTCTTGGTATGTTGCCTAGGTTGTTGTTTTTTTTTTTTTTTTTTTTTTTTTTAGGTTGTTCTTAAACTCCTGAGTTCATGTGTTCCTCCTGCTTTAGTCTCCTGAGTAGCTAGGACTTGACATATATACATACTATTTTTAACAGAACTAACAGATTATTTTTTAACAACACTAGAGGAAACAGTTGAAGAAGCAAACAAAAGTTTGAAGATCAGAGAGGTTATTAGTCCATAGCATAATAGCTACCTGCCTATGAAGAAGAACCAGACAGATTTTGGGGAAATAATACTAAAGATTAAAAAACAAAACAAAGGGGCCAAGGAGATGGCTCAGTAGAATTAAGTGCTTCCCTGGCAAGCGCAAGGGCCTGAGTTCAATCCCCAGTTCCGCCAAAACCAAAACCAAAACCAAAACCAAACCAAACAAAAACAAACACTGAGTAGGCAGGTTGAATAGCAAAATGAAATTAACTGAAGAAATGATTATGCTGGAGGATCAAGCTAGGAAATTCTTCAAGGAAGCTGGGCATGATGGCACATGCCTATAAGCCAAGCTCTTGGGAGACTGAA